GATGAAAGTTAGATCTAGACCCCCGCGTGGCCTTGCGTGGCCCATGTCTACCTGTGCCGATCTGACATGGTGTTTTTTCGGATGGCACCCTATGTGGGCACCCTTGACCAGCACCCGGCTCTACAGGTCTCCTCTGGTGGCTGAAATGGAGACTTGAAAGTGGCAGGTGGTGGCCTGGCAGTGAGGGTGCTGGTATACAAGGTGCGTGGATGGCCCAAACCATGGAGCGCCAGAGATCTTTTCGTGTGGACACCCTCAGAGCTCGCTCCGGAGCTTCGTGTACACGAAAACCCGAAAACCACAACGGACGGGCACTGGAAATCTGCCGCCCCATGGACAACTTGAACCACCACTGCAAATATGCCAGTGCCACCTTTCGTGTGGAGTCAATGGCGGTCCGTCCACCCCCAGACGGCGCTATCCAACCCCGTCCCAGATGGCTCGTGGATCGCAGGAATCGCTCGCCCAGTTGCCCTGAATCCTGGGGTCCCAACCGCCACGATGAGGAGCAACAAGCCCCAGCGCCGGCGTTTCACAGGGCTCACCTCGTGAGTGGCGCTTCTTTCGCTGGCGCCATTGCTGCCTTCCCTCCAAACTCCAAATTCCACCGCCGCGTTTGGGGAAGAACAAACCGCTGTTCCGGATTCCGGCGGGAAATAGAAGAACAAAACACGTCCGCGGTCCGTCACGTCCGCCTGCGAGATGGCCGGCACGTCGGCGAAGTCCGAAAAGCTCATCGCCTTCAAAATGCCTCTGGGGACGCGTCAGCGCATCGCGAACGCATGTTCGGCGGGGTCCACTGACCACTCTTTGTGGGTCCTGAGGTTCTTTGGTTTGGAATTTGATTGGGTGGCTTAAACACACCCCTTTTTCCGAGCTTTCACCGTGTTTACAACCATCCTGACAGGGTGACAAACTGGAAGCAAGAACTGGAAGTACAAGTACGTGTGACGAAGCTGGAAGTAACCAACAAAAAGTAAAGAAAAAAGGATGGTGCCAGTACCAGTTATACAGTTATACATAGTATACATGGATGCCAATGCTTTATCCATCTATACTTCCCGGGAGTACTTACGTCCGTGCCTTCGCCCATGCGCTCCTCGTCGGAGTCGAGCCAGTCCATCTGCGCAGGCACACTGCGGCACCTGCGGCGTGGGTCGACTTGGGGAGTGACGTGGGTCTGCTCTGAGGCTCGTCCGGACTCGTGTCACTGAATTAGATGGTTCACTACCAGCACCCGACTTCACAGCTCTCCTCTGGTGGCTGAAATGGAGACTTAAAAGTCGCAGGTGGTGACCTGTTGGAGGGTGCTGGTAGATGTTCAAAGCGTTGGTGACATCCCTAACCTGAAGAACCAGACTCCCAGACACGACCTGTTTGGGACTGCCATAGGACTGCCGCCCCATTGACCCCTCAAACCACCCCAACGTAGGCATATATGGCAGTCCCATGGTGTGTCTGGGTATACGATATAGAAACTGCATATACTGTAATTATATATAGATGACTTCTGCATCTGGTCAAGGGAGTCTTGGTTTTTGCCGCAGCAAGTGAGGTTTACGGGCGTTTACGGTTGACCAAAACGGAACTTGGCATGGCAAACCAACTGTCACCGCCCATGTTCGCCATGTTTGCGAGTTGAAGGAGAAGCCATCCAAGTTGATCCAGTTCACCCGATACGGACGTTGTTCCTCCACATCGCGGGGACTGACCTGCTCTCTGCCAAGCTGGTGCCACAGGTGGACCCCACCAAAAAAGAAATAAGAACCACACATGAACAATAACAATATGTTCTAAACCTCCAGTAGCCGAACTTGGAGGAAGTCGGGGTGCCCCTGTCACATCCACTCACTGGATGTGACTAAACAACACCCCTTTGTGACTCCTGGCTGGAACCCTATTATTATGCAGTGCTGTATGTTTTAGCTCAAACATGTCTATACTGTATACGATAGATCGTGGGTGGTCTGAGATGCTCTTCCCTGGACTCGTGGCTGGCTTTCACCACCTTCCGCACATGTTGAAAACACCTCGAGCCTTTCACACGCGCTTGAAAAGAGATATGGACATAATGTCATAATCCCTAGGGCTCCAACCACCTCCTGAGAAGGTGGTTGGGGTGGGTTTTTGGGGTCTAACCACCTTCTGAGGATATGGTTGGAGCGCTAGGGAATGTATGGACACGTCCACCACTGATGCTCCATGACACCAGAATCGACCGACTTACTAGACCACAGCAAACCGAGCAGTTCGGTCGAAAAACCGCTCGGTCGGATCACCGAGGCAGTTCCAAAACGCATGGCCGGCGCCCGGTGACAAGCTGGTCAGCACTGGACAGCAGAGCCTCTGCTCTCCCTTTAGCTGAGCGCTGTGTGCCTTATCATCTCAACTTCCGTCAAAGAGGGTCAGAACAGTGGCAGGGTCGCCTCATAGAGAGTCCAGGAAGCATGTAATTTGGTCTTGACCAAAACAACCATGGGTTTACTGAGGATTTGCCTTCCAAAACCGGGTCAACCATTTCAAAACTGGTCTTGGAAGGCCAACGCTTCATTCTGCGGCCAAGGTCCCCCTCCCGTGTGACAACACACGGTGCACCGCGTGGACTGCAAGGCGCAGTACATCTTCTGCCGCATCTGACGAAACGAACGGGCGGATGCAAAGCAGCAAGCATCACCAAAGGAAACCAATAGAAGGTCATGGGCCGCTGAAAATGACAAAGCCATTAATTAACTGGTTTCCTTGATTTATAAGAACTCGACATCTTATTATCCCCAAGAAAACCTCTCTGCTTTCTCTCAACAGGGCTGCTTGGTCTGGCTCAGCACGGAGCGGCTCTGCAGAGCTCCGCACGGAGCTTCTGAAGTCTGGGACCCGGTCATTCCACCGACCCAGGTGGTTTTGAGTCGGACGTGACATGGATCGGGGAAGCGTCACGACGATCCGAAATCGGAACCGGCACCCGACTCCTTGGAACTACTCGGATAGGCTCGTGATTCACGCTGCAATTGGAGGATTCAATTGGTAGCAGGTACCACAAGGACCACTCTGGTATGTGTATTTAGTTTGTCCGGCAAGGCAAGAAACACCTGCAGCGTCGGAAGAGTCTAGTCAGACTTGTTCCAAAAATAGCATTCTGTGTTTGAGCCGTTGGAGGTATATGACAATTCTCAGCAATGGCCTTGCGTAAACCGACCAACCCACCATGCTGAGAACTCTCCACATTGGCAGCATGGTTGGTGCACCACGCTTCCCCAACACACGCCGCTCCACTGCGTCGAGCCTTTACTGGCAGAAGATCTCCCCAAAAACGCCCGGGCACGCGCCCCAGAGCCAGCAAGGCTTTGTTTGACGCAGATCCGGAGGATTCAACACCTATCGGTTCTTGTTCTTCTTCCTCCGTCTTCTCCTCTTCCTTCTTCCCCTTGTTGTTCTTCTTATTCTTCTTCTGCTGCTTGTTCCTCTCCGTGTTCTTTATCTTTGTTATCTTCATGTTTCTTTGGAATTGCAAAAGTATGCATGTTCACTCAAGAACAATAGGAGTGGCTTGCCTGCAGGGAAATTCTCAATTCTCCAGTACGTGGTTCCTTTTTCCAGGTGTTTGCATGTGAACCCCAACCAAACAGAGAGGATGATTCTTTTGCCACTTTTCTGTGTGGAAGGACACCAACAAATTCCTGAGAGATCTGTACCAGTATCACCAAGTGAATACAAACGTCCTTGGAAGATAGAGAGTCTAAGGACATCGTGAAGCGAAAAAGACATGCACATGAATTCCTTGGACAGAATGTCAGATTCGCTGGAATACGTTTACTATGATGTCAATGGATGCAGCGAACGACCCGATGGGTCATGATCCTAAACTGGCGAACGACCGTCTTGACCGTCACTGCAGTTCCCATCGTCCCATACCTCTTCCAGGCCACTTTTTCCTCTCGCCAGTCGTCAGTCGAGTCAGTCGGATACGAAGGGCACCAGTCGAGCATCAAGCTTTGGATAGGAGACATGGTCTCCACTGGCGGATGCCCCAAATGGAACCTCGCAACTCGACCTTCGAAGAATCGAAAACTGTATTTATATACAATCCAGTAGTTCCAAAGGGGTGCCGAACAACTGGAGGAAGTCGGGGTGCCCCTGTCACATCCACGCACTTAGAGACTAGAAACCCCCTTTGTGACTCCTGGATTGTATGAATGTATTGATATGTATATAGATCTATAAATCACATCTATACTTGGGCACCAAGAAACAAGGGCGTCAGACAAAAGAAGAACCGCGGGCATCATTCCCGACTGCAACGCTGTGCCTCAGCGGACTAAAGCAAGAGGTTGGAGATTCAGTAAAGTACAGTGCGGACTTCCAGCTTCTTCAGTTCGTGCCCTTTCGGGAGTCCCATCCTTTTACATCCGTTTACGGGTCGTTTTTCGTGACCTCAAAGCAGGATATTAAGCTCGGGTCACTTGGAAGAACCTCAGATGTTACTTGAATTCCTCAAAAAATGTGCATGCCTCAAGGCTCCAAGTGCCCCATTTCAAGCCGTCACTTGGGATCGATGAATGGTCGTCACTTTGAAGAAACGGAACAATGGAACGACAGTTCGTGGAATTTCTGATTGGATTCCAAGGGATTGGAAGTGTCACCATGGTCTAGTGGTCTGCCTGATGGTATACAAGCATCTGCAACCAGAAACCATGTTGGATCGCTGTCCCCAAATGAAAACCTCTTTATCTTGGACAATTGGTGTCACACCTCAAAGGGGAGTCCCTATCACGACATCGGCCAGGGATCGGGATCGCTGCCATCCGTACTTCGGGAAGTCCGTCTTCCAAGACGGGAACCCCGTGCTTTGTGGCGTACACCGTGCAGAACTCCTTCCAAAACGGCGAACACGTCGAAAGGAGACACCGAATCCTTGACGTGGCGAGCCCGAAAAAAGGCACATGGCGACCGCATGGTTACGCATGAAATTCCTGAGGATCCATCTCACTGAGCCTCCCACAGCTTCAAGGGATACTCACCTGGCGCGGTAGCCTCCATGGCAACAGAAGACCCCGTTCCAAGGGTCCAAGGCGTAGTAGCTACAGTATCAGACACCGCGTAGCTGGTGGTCTTTTCCCCAATTTCATGGCCAAATCACCAAAAACTTGCAAATACCAAGACTCTTGACACTGCAAAGCTCCCAAATACAAACCACTGTTGATCCCAAAAACTGGCAAAGCTCCCAAGACTCCCAGAGTCCTGGCTCCCAGGTCCCAAGTCTTGGACACACCACTGTTGAGGCAAAAACGGAGACCAAACGAAGACCAGCTGTCTGACGCCTTCCGCCCATCCGAAAAAGAACCACGGTCAACGGCTTCAACGGGGGTCGGTGGGCCCTTCAGGTCGTCCATCAGCGTGGACTCATCGATGTCGAGGGAGAAGCCGACGCACGCCGTCGGCGGAAGCCGAGGCAGGCAGGTTCGACATCTGTTTTTTCCTGGATTCGGAACCCTGCTCGTTCTGAAGGTTCAAAACGGTTTAATGTCAATGTATTCCGAGCCTTTGCTGTCTATAGTATAAGTACTGTACTATGTCTTTGGAGTTGTCGTAAGCAGTGGTCCCACTTGGCTCCTTCTCCAGAGGCACCTACCCTCCACAGGCAGGTGGCCTTGCGGACCTTGATCTTGCTACGCTCCTGCTGTAGCAGCGAGGTGGCCGCCGAGTCGGCGCCCTGAGCGGTGAAGGGGTGAGGGTGGAGAGGCGTGAGTGGCGTGCCCCAACAGATGATTCATGTTGAATCCGGAGTAAACGAATCCGCTATGATCCTGAGGCTTCATTTTTGAAAAAATATTTCTGACTGTCCAAATGTGCTTTAAGGGTCCTCTATGATGCAATGTCTGTTTGAAATCCGAAGTGTGTTCTTTTCTGGATCATATTCAGGGGTTTCCAAGTAATCCTTCAGAGCCCTGTGAATAGTTACTAAGCCCATGAAACTGGCTTGCTGGGAGCGTTGGCCATAGATCGGTTTCTCAAGTCCTTCTTTAAAAACAGAGGACCTGAGAACCTTCTTCGTACTCTGACTCTTCTTAGTAGTATTGAAGAATTGCTGAGAATATCAGAATATCTACAAAGAACCTGCGAAAGGAAAATGAATAACTATAATCTATGACTTGACAAGATGACAAGAATGGAAGATGAATACTACAATATACTACAGTCAGTACAAAAGGAATCCTCCCAGGAACCCAGATTTGTTTTGGTGGCAGTTTATTATAGAGGACCTCCCATTTGTTTAAGGGGAATCTCATTTGCTAATCAGGATCCAACATTAGTATATATATGCATGTATGTTATATATATATATAAGAAGTTATAAGATAGGGCATTGATCTGCTAGAATTCTGCCATGATGGTCAAGTTGATCAAAGAGCATAGAAATGAAAAGAAGATACGAAAATGATTTCTACTACAGTAGGTGACTTAGGAGTGGTCATTTCTTGACGTTCGTCCAATCCAACAAAAGCCACACGAGTCGGATCAGCCATCCGTCGGGTGCGCGAGTCGCCGACCGATCGAGTTCGGTGAAGCAAAAAGCACCGCCACGGCGGGCGAGTGAGTTCGCACGCAGTGACAGGTTCTGACCCCGTCGTTTGACAGGATTTGGGGGTGAGAGAGAGAGAGAGAGCGTCGAGAGTCTAGAGTGTCATGAGCCATATTTAGGTGGTAACTCTAAGGCCACAGTTCAAAAGGATTCCCCAAACAAAACACAATTTCCCAAACAGTGTGGACACACTTAGGGGTTCTTACGGTAAGGGTTAAGCAGCTGTGCTTAGATCGCTGTGCCGCGCGGGCGTGTTGGCCATTTATACAGTACATTCATGCCTCTAGAAATCCTCGAAGTGCATTTCGACTGCACAGGCTCGCGAAATCTGGGGGCCCGCGGCGGATGTTTCTAGCGAGCGCACTTTCGCACATGGTGGTGACATTTCGTGGCAGGCGCACGGGAAACCTCGTGTTAATTTTGGTGGTCCAAAGTCAACTTTTCGTGACAAGCGCAAGGGATCGGAGCGGCTTTGCTTCGAAGTGCAGATTTCGTGGCAGATGCGGCACTGCACTTCGGTTCACAAAGTGCCGCACCTGCCACGAAATCTGAACATCGAGATTCACAAAGTGCTTCTGCACATCGAGGTTGACAAAGTGCTGTGCCTGCCACAAAATCTGCACATCAAGGTTGACAAAGTGCTGTGCCTGCCATGAAATCTGCACTTCGAAGCAAAACCGCTCCGATCCCTTGCACCTGTCACGAAAAGTCGAGTTTGGCACACTGTTTGGGGAAAAAAAGTGTGTGTTTTCAATGTTTTTTTTTCCACGCAAATCGGGAGAGAATTCCTCACTGCCACTGATTGCTGGCAAAGGCCGTCATGTTTTTGGGCTCGGCAGCGAAATCGAGGACGAAGATGATACGGGATGTCTCCTGCAATCAGCTTCAGACTCAGTAAGTTGACAGAAGAGATGCTGATGCTGCTAAACATCTGCGCCCTGCCAGTGGCCAAAGTAGGCGACCAAAGATTTGCGCTGTGAAACGCAGCGATCTTGCACGGTCAACAAAGTTGGTAGGAGGTCACCTCGGAAAAGGGCATGTGAACATTTCGATCATCGCTGTCAGCTTGAGTGTTTTCAAGGGGCAGAATGCCCGTCATCCTCCGGCAGGCACAGATGAGTCGGTTGGGATGTTGGACATGTTGATCACGTCTGGGCCGCTGCCAATGAAGGAGAATCAATCCATGGTGGGCCCGGAAACCGCGCGGAACCGCCTTTCTGCCCGTTCGGGTCCGGGAATGGGCGAAGGACGTTCGAAGGTGCCAAAAACCGGAGCTATGTACAATCAGACCTTCGGTTGGCCAGGGCGTTTAGATATTTTGAAGATGTTTGCATCAGAAACCATCCATCCCCGTCCCCCCAAACCCATGAAACTCCATGAAACACCCAGAATCTGGTCGCACCAACGGTCTGGTCGTGTTCCAAAACCGACCGGTCTGCACCAACGTCTCGGCCTCGTCGATGGAGGCTTCGCTGGCGGCGGCGCGGCCGGAGGAGCCGCATTCGTCGGCCTCCGGTTCATCCCAAATAGGTTCGGAGGTACCTACAGAGGTTAAGTGACCTCTACAGGAGTACCTATAGGATAGTCTATAGGGTTCTTCAACCTCTGCTGGGCCCCTGGAAGTCCAGTCGTGACTCCTTTTACCCCATAAGACGTGGAAAAAATGTCGGGGTAAAATGAGTCATTGGAAGCTCTGGGAGCTATAACCCCCCACTTAGATAGAATGATAGAACAGTAGATCCCCACTAAGAATGTTTTCGAAAGCGCGTCACTATCTATTTGGGGACGAGATTCCTGGCCTCACCATGCATGGAAAAGGGTCAAAGAAACCCTAGCCACCCTTGTTTTAGCTCAAGGGATTTTGGACTACAAAAACCAGGTCCCACCGTATCCCACCATCTTTTTTAGATCCTGAAAGGCCTGAGGAAGGTTTGGAGGGGGTGAGGTTCGGGTTGCAAAGGTCTGCAGTATATATAGAGAGGGTCAGAGACAGAGAGACGGAGAGTAGGGCTCCAGATCTGGCCATTTGATGTTGAGAGTTCACTTGCAGAGCCGCTAGTCCAGAACCGGTGCTTTTTCAGATCGCAAGATCTGCTCCCCAAAACTTCCAGATCTGGGACACCTGCTCGAACTTCGCTCCGAGGTGGCTCCAAATCCGCTGGTGAAAGCCAGTTTTCCGGCCGCTCGCCTTGCGGAACGAGCCTCGCCCCGTCTGGAAGAGGGAGATGGCGGCCATGCTGTCCTGCTCCGTGGCAGGAAAGATCCCGAACTTCATCTGCAGAAGAAACGGTGCCAACAGACCAGTCGTTGGTAAGTGGTCATCCTGGATTTCTATATATAGTCACTATGCGAGTCAGACAACAGCTTTAGAAACCTGAACTCCAAAGTACAAAGAAGTAATGTAGCTGTAGAATCACCCGGGGTAGGCTTGGTCATTGCATCATCATCTGAGTCTAGTGGCAAGTGCTGAAGCTGGAATCCTTCCCTGCCAATCTCTTTACAAGGTACTTGAAGAGGAGTAGCAAAAAAACTTGTTGGTGAATTTTCAATAGTCAAACACGTATATTGTTTTCTTGTGGTGACAATGGTTTCTGACGGGGATGGGGGAAGTTTGGCAGAATGTACAAAGCCGTTGCCCCCACGGTCTAATTACCGCACAACTTCCAAGTGGCTGTCCCTGGCTGCAACAAACAAAACCATTGTCTCATTTGCCTTCGCTGCATTTTTGTCAGCTTATGCCTCGAGCCACAATCCCACAACTGCCAAGTGGCCGCTTCGAGCTGCAAGGAACAAAGCCGTTACCCGTTACCCTATCTGTCCTTGATAAATGCTTGTCAACTCTAGCATCAAGAATCGCACAGGTTCCAAATGACTGTGGCCCTTCTCGGCTGCAATAAGCAAAGGCTTTACTGCATTTCTCTGTCATGATCTTTGTCAACTCCAGCATCGAGCAACAATCGCGCAATTTCCAAGTGGCCCTTGTGGGCAGCAGCAAGCAAAGCTGTTGTC